CCGCTGTCGCCCAAGCCGCCCCTCGCCGCCGCCTCCACGCGCGGCGGCCATTTTAACTTCTGACAGACGCTGCTAGCGCCCGTCCAGGCGCTGGAGGCCCAGGCCCGCCGCCGCCGCCGGCCTTCCCGGACTCCGAGAGTCTCCCGGGGCCCCCCTCTCGCCTCGCCTCGGTTTATTTATTGACTGTCTTTGCCCCTGTCCTCGAGAGGCCAGTGAGAGGCAGGCGAGGGGCTCGCCGCTCGGAGCGCCAGCATTTCAGGGGCCCTGGCCGACTCCCACTCCCCGCTCCCTTCCAGCCACGCTGCCTTAACTCGCCGCTCCGGGCTCCCGCGGACTTGGGCCCCGGGCGGGCCGCCGGGGCTGGAGCCCAGAGTCCTCGGGCCTCCCGGGGCCGGGACGTGCCGCCTCCTACTGTGTAGGAGCCCCCCCTCCCCCCGCTTCCCAATACAGCCGTGTGCCCCAGCCGCTGCCTGACTTTCCTCGCGGGGCGGGAGGGGAAGGAGGGCGGGGCCGCTCGGCCCTTTGGGTGCCCGTGCCCCGAATGTCTGCCTCCGCTTCGCCTCGGCCCCCGGGTACTCTTCCCCGGAGTAATTGGCTTGGCGGCTGTCCCACCGGGGTTAATCAGGAAAGGTTTCCTGAAGGAGGCAAGCGGAGGTGGGCGGCTGAGCCAGGGCCCAGGAGAGCCGGGTACAGATCCGAGGTGCAGGGGAAGGCACTCAGCGGGCCTCTGCATAGAGAGGGCAGGCACCTTTTCATGGCCTACGCCACGGGGTGGGGGAGGGACGTTTTGGAGAAATAAAACGAAGCTGCTGCGTGATTTGAATCTCACATCAGCAAATCTTGTCCTGAAAGAGAGCTTGGCTTAGGTGGTTGGGTCTCCTGAGTAGTAGTAGCCTGCGACACACAACAATAAAAGCCGGCAGAAGACGAGCCCTGCTGGAGGAAGAAAGGGTTTGCCCAGCAGTTGGCTCCCTGGGGGACAGTTCCAGCGGCAAGCTAGCCCGGGGCTAGAGACACTAAGGTGCGCCCCTCCTTGCTGCTACATTGTGCTGGCCGCAGATACCCGCAAGATATCCCGAGTACCAAGGGGAGGGATGACCGGAGTGCTTGTCCCACCCACCACCCTCCTGGCGCTAGGAACATTTAAGGCTTCCCTCGGGTGCCGGCTGCGCTGGAGGATTTGCAAATCTGGAATTTGGCAGGCGCGTGGCGGCAGTATCCGCCCTGCTCCAGCTCCAGGCCACTTCCCGTTGGCGCCTCCTAGAGGTCCGACCAAGCCCTGCACCCGAATAAGCCGCCAGGTCTCTGGTTGCTTACTGCTGAGAACTATTTGGCCAATAGTTCTGGGTGTATTGTTTACCTCTTCACATTTACCCTCGAGATCGTAACTCTGCCTTAAGCCTCCTTTCTCATCTGAAATAACAGAGTCGAGAGGCTCAAGTACTATAATGTGCAAATGCTTTGTGAAAGACAAATCGTGAAGTGATGGTTCCTCCGTCTCTCTCAAGTCTCTTGATGCAGCTCAGTTAAGCTAATTGGCCAAGGGTCCTCCAGACTTTAACATCTCTTTAGTTTGATCAGGTGTTTGGTTTTTTTTGGGGGGGAGGGGTTCATCTTATTTCTCCTTGGGGACCTTACTTAAGCTGAGATGCACCGGAGCTGTTGCTAGTATCCTAAACAGTGCTAGGGCACAGGAAAGGAGAGGTTACCGTTACCTGGTTGCATTAATCTCTTCAAAATGTGATAGCTAGTGTAAAGTACATCTGTAAATGGTGTATGAAAATCATGAATTCTGGGCTATTAGTTAGTCTTTCTCCAAAGATGAAGAGGGAGAGCAAGATGGTTTGGTGAGAGCCGGGCGTTGGTGGCGCATGCCTTTATTCCCTGCACTCGGGGAGTTCGAGGTTCTAAAGCTACACAGAGAAACCCTGTCTCGAAAAACCAATATATATGGGTAAAGTACCTAGCTGGTAAGTCTGGCCGCCAGAAGCCTATAGTGCAAAGAGAACCAACTTTCTTAAGTTATTCTCAGGCCTCCATGTGTGCCGCTGGCACGCCCACCCACCCCCATCTCTCTCTCAATGCACAAATCCTGAAAAGATGAGAGGCTTGGGATACAGCCCCGTTGGTAGCATGGCAAGCATGTACTGAACTCTCACTTCTAATTCAAGCACCACACACAACAGAGTGGTGGTGCATGCCTGTAATTCTGCATTCTGGAAGCAGAGGCAGGCAGGTTTGCTGTGAAATGGACAGCAGCTTGGGCTATAATGTTGTATCAGAAAGGAAAGATGGAGAGAATATGCTGCAATTGGCTCAAATAGGTTCAAGACTGGCCTGAGCTAAGAGACCCGAAATCAACCCCAAAGGAAAAAAAAATATGTATATAAAGAACTAAAACTGCAAGGCGTTGGCGCACTTGGGAGGCAGAGGCAGGTGGATCTCTGTGAGTTCAAGACCAGCCTGGTCAATAAGAGCTAGTTCCAGGACAGCCTCCAAAGCCACAGAGAAACCCTGTCTCGAAAAACAAACAAAACAAAACCAAACAAACAAAAAAAGAATTAAAACAGACGACCCAGCATTTGAGAGGCAGAGGTAGGTAGAGCTCTGTGAGTGTAAGTCCAGCCTGGTCTACATAAGCAAGTTCCAGGCTAACCAGGGCAATACAGTGAGACCCTGCCTCAAAAAAAAAAAAAAAGAAGAAGTACAGTGTACGGGATTGATTCTAGGACAGTCGCCACATCTTAAAAAGAAAAACAAAATCTAGATATTCAAGTCCTTCAAGTAAAAGGACATGGTATGTGCATGTGACCCATGCCCAGCCTCCGGTGTGCTCTAGATCTTCTCTAAATTATTCTAACACAAGGTAAATGATAGCAATTCTGTGTGTTTATTCTGAAGCTAGGTTGTACTCCAGTATGTGGTAGATGTTATCTTTGAACTGATCTGTCTTAGACTAGCAAGTGCTGGGGTTGCAGATAGGAGTCTCACTGTGAATAATTGTTGTACCATATTATTTAGGAGATAATGAAGAGAAAAAAAATCTCCATATGTGTTGAGTACACATACAACTTTCCCCAAATATTTTTGATTTGTGGTTGGTTGAATGCATGGGTGTGAAACCCATATATATATATATGACAGAATCAAACCTAGGGCCTTACACATGCAGATAAATGCTCTGTCACAGAGCTACAGCCCAGCTTTAATCTTGAGTTTCCTTGAAGGCAGCAGCAAAGCACAGGTTCATGTCCTGACTCTTCATTTACCAGTTTTTTAAGAGACTGTTTACTTTTTTTAGCTGGGAACCAAGAGCAAGCGAAACCAAATGTGTTGCAGTAAGCAAATCCTAGGGCCCTTCTATGAAACCTTTGCAGTTTAACCACCCCCTCCCCCTCTGCCATTTCTCTGTGTAGCCCTGTGAATCCTGGAACTCACTCTGAAGACCAGACAGGCCTCAAACTCACAGAGATCTACCTGCCTCTGCTTCCTGAGTGTTGGAATTAAAGGTGTGTATCATCACCACTGGCTAAATGTTATTTCTTTGACTTTTTTGTCTGCATGTAATGTATATCTGTGTACCCCATGAGCATTTGGTGCCTAGGGAACTCAGAAGTGGATCTGGATTTCCTGGAGCTGGAGTTAGACGCAATGAGCTACCCTGTGAGAGCTGGGAATTGACTGACAGTGCTCTTAACTGTTGAGCCATCTCTCCAGCCCTCAATGTCTTTTTTAAGGAATGGAAAGAACTTATGATAACAGGGATTTGTAAAGCATGTAAATATATAGGCTTAAATTAATCAGTTTAGCTAGATGTGTGGTACTCTGATGTTACCACACTTCCCTCAGAGTCTGAGTTGGGAGCATTGTGAATCCAAGGCAAGCCTGGACAACATAGCCTCACTTACCACTTCCCCAAAGCCCCACAATTAGGTGTTTTGTAGGACATGGTTATTTGCCCAAAATAACAGGGGCCACCACCAAAGATGCAATTCATTATTACTCATGAAAAATTCTACTGGCAGATTATAATACTGGATAATAAATTACGGATAAGTTGCAGACATTATTGCTGAAAGTGGAAGTATAGACAAACGTGCCCTCTTTAAGTTCAATTAAGGGATCTGCTGGGTGGGGTTTTGTTTTTTCAGGGTCTCTTGTATCCCAGGCTGGCATTGAACTTCTGACCCTCCTGCCTCCCCTCCCTGAGTGCTGGGATTCCAGGGATGTGTCTGCACTGCTGGTTGGTAGTCTAAAAAGTCACACTATCAGCCTGCTTTGTCATTAGGAAAAGCAGAATATGCCAGCAGCCTCATCCTCAGGGATCTCTGAGCTAATTTCTCAGAGGCATCCTAGGAGATTATGGGGAAACCAGGGCCCCAGCAGGCTGAGGCCATCAGGTGTCTAAGGCTTTGGGGACCTGAGACTCAAAAGGTTCCACAATCAAGGGCCGCTTCAAAAGCTGTTCAGCACCTTGGGTTCTTTGGAGGCAAAGTCACAAGGGCCTGAACTATTTATTACTCGGGGTTGCTGCTTCTTAATGCTGCCACCTCAAGCTCTGGAACAGGCAGATAGGCACGAGTCACTGCCACTTGACCCAGAAGGTGACCCTTTAGAACGGTTGACCCATGAAGTTTAAGGTTATACAGGCTGGGCATAGCTCAGGTGCAGAGTGCTTGCCTATATGCCTGAAGCTATACATTGGATCTGTAGCTCTTCGTTAACATGCAGAGGTTGTAATCCCAGCACCATGAGGGATGTGGGTAGAGTCAGGAGGATCAGAAGTTCACAATAATGCTGGGCATTGAGTTTGAGGCTAGCCTAGGAAACATGAGACCCTGTCTCAAAACAGAAAAGGGGAGAGGGAGCTTATATACACAAAGCCAGGTTTGGTGGCACAGGCATGTAATCCTCAGGAAGTGAAGGCAGTAGATTGCCTTGCATCAGAGGACAACTGGGACAACATAGCAAGACCTTGCTAAAGAGAAAGACTGGTAGCTGGAGGTAGAGATTGCCTTCAGAGGAGCAGTGACTTGGAGCAAGGAATTAATGGAGTCAAGGGTGACCTCAAGAGAGCGAATATACTGGTAAGTTCATTTCAGTCTTTTTTGTTGTTTCTGACTTTAAAATGTTTCATCTATTGGTGTTTTGTGTGCATGTATGTGAGTGCACCACACATGTACCTTGTGTCCATGGAGGTCAGAAAAGACCATCAAATCCCCTGGAACTAGTTATAGATGGTTGCTAGCTTCCATATGGGTGCTGGGACTTGAACCTGGGTCCTCTGGAAGAGCAGCCAGTGCTCTTAGCCACTGAGTCATCTCTCTGGTCCCTATTTTGGATTTTAATACATTTTTAAAGATTTATTTTTATTTTATACGTATGAGTATTTTGCTTGCATGTATCTGTGTACCATATACCTAGTACTTGTAGAGGGCAGAAGGTGTCATACCCTGGAGCCCCTGAAACTGGAGTTATAAGCCACCAGGTAGGTGCTGGGAATCAAACCTGGGATCTTTGCAAGAGCAGTAAGTATGCTCTTAACTGCTGAGCCATCTCTCAAGCCCCACCTCTAGTTTCTTACAGGCGATCAGAAATGAATTTAGATGCCTAAAGCTGTCCAAATAGTTGGCTCAGCCAGTAAAAGCACTTGCCACCAAGTCTTTTTATTCAGTCTGGGACCTCAGCCTATGGAATGATGCCCCACATTTAGCATGGGTCTTTCTACCTCAAATAACCCAATCCAGAAACTCCCTCACAGACATGCCCAGTGGCTTGTGTCTTAAGTGATTCTAGGTCCTGTCAAATTGACAGTCA